GGGCCAAAAAACCGGCCGCCGCCAGCCATTTCCGGGCTTCCAGCGGCCATTTTGGAACCGCCGATCAGCTGTTCGGCGGCTCCAAAATGGCCGCCGCAATACCCGATTTTCGCAATGCGGGTTTTCCCCATTGCGAAGATCGGGCATGTTTCCGTATAGCGATCCCGAAAAAGGGATCGCTATACGGAAACATCGCTATACGGTGCACTCGTTAAGCGAGGCACCACTGTAATTTGTAATTTTTGTTAGATTGGTTTTTTTAATAACTTGTGGACCACCTTGGTTCCCTTAATTGGGAGAAAGGTGGCATACAAATGAAATAGATTAAATAAATAAATAACCCCCCTTTTAGGTCTCATGTTATCATGGATTTTGAGCACTAAATCACTAAATCTGTCTACTTAAGGCAGACCTGGGCAAAGTACAGCCCAAGGGCCACATACGGTCCAAGAGCCCCTCCTGTCCGGCCCGCGGACAGTTTTGAACATCAAAACCATTTATAGCTTTTTGTCTAAAGTTGATCTTTAACATACCGCAAAAAACCTCTTTAGTATTTGTGAAGATTAACAAGTTTAAAATAAAAACAATCATAACATCACTGCTTCATTTTATTTTTAAGTAAAGTTGTTTTGGCCCCTGAACACAGTTCAGATTTTTCATGTGGCCCCCTTATAGAAATTAATTGTCTACCCCTGACTTAAGGAAAAGTGCTCATGTCATGGCTTTGCAGCCAAGGGGTCTGAAGACGTTCTCTAAAAACATCAATAGTGGTGCAGTGGCAGGGTGGGGGCCTCACCAGATGCTGCTACTGTACCTCTGTTCAGGCCAGACAGTGCTTGAACGAAGCAGTGACTGAGGTTGTAGCTAATAGAGCAGGGAAGTATGTGTGTGTGGGTACATATTTGGAAGATAGAGAAAGGGAAGAAAAATGAGGAGGAATCTTGTTTGCTGTGTTCATTCCTTTCTACTATGTAGTATTCTGTATTTGTAAAATCCCATTTCAATAGGCAACAGATTTTGCCATGGTGAGGGGGAAGAGAGAGAACGTGGAAGTGTCCATAACTGAGCATCAGAGTGGATCCAGAAAGTTTATACAGTGGTGCCTCGCACAACGA